ATCATCATCATCAAATCATCATCATCATCATCATCATAACCATGAAATCATCATGAAATCATCACCATCACCATCAAATCATCATCACCATCACCATCACCATCATATCATCATCACCACCATCATATCATCATCACCACCATCATATCATCATCATCACCATCATCATCACCAAAACATAATCATCAACATCTTCTTATAATGATTAATACCGAGACCAATGTGACATACTTTAGTAACATCCATGGCTGTCTCAAGGGAAAGATGTAAAGTCAGACTCTGAGATCTGAACGGTGCGTACGAGTCGTGAACCTGTGAACAAAATAAAAACATCAATACTCCTTGTCCTCTTCACCCTGCAGTGGCACTCTGGTGAAAAAGGAACTCTGGAGAATAAACTAAAGGAAATGAAATATCTATTAGTGACAGAAACTTGAAATAAGTGTTCCAGAAGAGTAAAAAACGAGAAGCAACTTCAAAAGCAAAGTTCAAAAGCAATAAAAACACATAGCGTGTCAGATTCTATCAGAGGAGCATAAGTATTTCAGAAGCGTAGAACACTTGAAAACAAAACTCAAAAGCAATTAAGACGCATAGCGTGTTATAGTGTATCAGTGGAGCATGCGCAGAATAAGTAAACCGCTGACACAATTCCTTATTTATCTCATAAAAATTCTTAACAACCCACAGAACGGTTATCCCGATATTACTGACAGCATTACTGACCTTGTTTGGTGCGAGTTCGGGTAGTTTAGACGGAGCAAACGGCATTATGGAGTGATGGTCGTTAGCATCGCCTGAACAATTCCATTGCATGTCCGAACTACAAAACAATAATAACAATAAAAAACACACATCGATAGCGAACCGCTGTTAAATAGTTCACTTTCAATCAATCTTATCAATCTAGTTGCCTTACCAGACTTTGAAAGCAGGGAAATGAAGGACTTCGCGGTCATCGTATCTGGACGCGGTGCGCGTCTGTAGAGTGAAATCTCCCGCGATCTCGATGCGACCTGAAGGAATCGAAACAAAAGGTAAAATCCCAAGCATTTGAATAATCTAGCCAAAAGAGATGCTAATGCAATCGTTGTTCTTTTTGCGCAGTCAACGATCTATAGCGACCCTCCATTGACAATGATCAAGTTGGGAATTTTGGTATCGCATTGGCACCACACACTACCCGTGAACCATTGTGTGACGTCATGAGAATGCATGTGATCAGAGTCAAGAGTACTGATGAACCGAGTAGATCTTTCGAGCGATTGAGTTAAATAAAAGACTTTACAAATGCACAAACGCCGCACATTACAGTCTATATTATTTTCAAATACTCTTTTACCATTGGTCCAGAGCAGGTCTACATTCATCCAGTCCAGCTCAAGCCGTTCTGTCGTGTTGTAAGGATTACGAGTCGCACTATAGAACATCAACCATTTCTTGATGTCCATGTGAAGACGACCATGAAGAAGAAGGCGAATCTACAAAAAGTTAATCACATCTTTGTGGGTTATCATTCGAGTATTTGCCGTGTAAAGGCCGCCATCTTGGGTGAATATATTTTATTCTCGTATACGAAGAATTGAAAGTCGATTACCTTGTCATAAAAAGGAAGAGGTTTGCTGGGGTCTTTACTCGGTTTGCTAAGATTTCCTGAAGAAATGCAAGAAAAGAAGCCTCAACACGTTGAAAATGGTGACGTCGTTTTGTGATCATGTGGTAGAAATCACGTTATATTTGAATCACGATATACGAATCATGCACGTCATATCTTCATAACATGATATAAATGATCCAACATAACGAATGCAAAAGACATGGAAAACTGATGTTGGCGTCACATTCTGATCGCGTGGTGGGAATGACGTCCGACACTAGAATCACGCGTTATATTTGACGTCACATTCTGAACGCGTGGTGGGAATGGCGTCCAACACTAGAATCACGCGTTACATTTGACGTCACATTCTGATCGCGTGGTGGGAATGACGTCCAACACTAGAATCACGCGATATATTTGACGTCACATTCTGATCGCGTGGTGGGAANGACGTCACATTCTGATCGCGTGGTGGGAATGACGTCCAACACTAGAATCACGCGATATATTTGACGTCACATTCTGATCGCGTGGTGGGAATGACTCAACTTACCAAATGCTAAAGATACCATTGCAATTGCTGGGTCGATGTCCACACCCCAGGCTAGCTCGAGGGTATCCATATCTGAAACGATTAAAAATAATGGGGGTGAAGTACCACATGTTATTCTATTGTACATGTTTTCTTTCTTTACCAGTAACATAGATGAATGAAACGCAAATGTAAAATCTTGGGGACCGGTCAATATTTAAAGGAGGGGGGCTGGTGGTTGGTGCAAATAAGAGGACACTGATAATCTAGTCTCCTCAGCAGTTTACCGGACCGACACTAAGAACGGCTGCTGAGGAGACTACTGATAATTATGTCGGGGGAGAAGGGGGGGGGGGGGGGGGGGTGGGAAGAGGGAACTTATGCAAGTAAATAAAATAAAAATAGGCTTCATAAAAGCTGTCAGGAAGATTTAAGCATGATATATCTACAATCTTGGACAAAAGGGTAGAGAATAATGAAAGAACTTCGACCGTCCCTGCGCCTTTTGTATATTTTGATCAATAACCCAAAGAAATGTTGGTCGAGCAAAGGAGTCATTCGCCTTTGTTTTCCGAGCAACATTGCTTTGGGGGGGAGGGGGGGGGGGATGTATATTATTCTTCATGACAAAAGCCAAAAAATTTTGATTTTTTTATCAGTGATTTTCTCTAAAGGTTTTTTCCTAGATTGTAGTCTTGCAACCAAAGTACCCCCCTCCTAAAAAATATTACGCCAAAACTGAAAAGGGCCACTTTGTGTCCATGTTTGAGGGGCATCATCATCACTGACATGATTCTTGTGCCACTTACCAAAATCAATATCGTAATAGAACTTGAGCGCAGTAAGACTTCGTTGTACTGTCATGTCTCCCCACGGCTCGTTGATAAGAATACTGGAATTATATTTAGCTATAAGGTACAAACACAGATTATTAGAATACAACATTTTGCAAACCACATTCCTTAAGATGGATAATATCAGAGACCTATTCTTGGGGTGCATGTTACGTCATAGCCGCCATGTTGGTTGACGAGAACAAAGCATGCATTAATTATTAGCCTTTTTTGTTAGATTAACCAACATGGCGGCTATTTATTAGTCATTCTGAGGTTGAGGAAAACCTGGGTCGAGTTTGCATTGCAGAGCATTGTGGGACTTTTTTAGAGGACAGATTTTCAATTATGCTTTGCTAATAAAAAGGTTACTGCAAGGGCTATTTGTTTGTATACGAACCTCTGTTGTCTGCAGCTTGTTCGGCACCAAGAAACGTTCCACATAGTTTCACTTCTTTTGAGGTGAATATTGGTCTTGGGTAGTCCCTTAAACGACACTGAAGACGTACAGAAAAGAACATTAACAAGTATACGCATTTATGTGCAAAATTGTGGATTTACTGTGTGTGGATATGTAAATGGAAAACATGAATAAGATGGACGAAAATGGATAGGAGTATGGATAGGAGTGGATGGGAATAAATATTAGAAAGATATTTGTTTAAAATTAGAGTAACATAGACCTCTTCATACGTAATATTGTACAATTTCAGACCACGTGTCATTCTCTTGAGAATAAGATACTTTGTTTGAGTACAAAGAAATGATATTACAGGGAATGACATGTGGTCAGAAATAGGAAAACGTTATGCCAAAGATAAAACTTTTTTTTATCCAAGAAATGAAATAATACTCACACAGTGTGAGTCGAGTGTGCCTTTAACTGTACGACACCACAGTGTGCTAAACTCCAGCCCACTAGGAAGGGTACTGCAAAGAACGACACATAAATGCACTTCAATGTCTTTACCGCCAAAAAATGGATACGAATGGGTGGCAATGAATGGAAATTTTTCTTTTCTCCACTCTATTTGATTACAGGACAAAAGGCGACAATCTTGTAAACCAGTGGACTGATATAACGACGTGCTGCAAGGGATCTATAGGTGTTTTATTATACCTACCTCTCACTGTTCAGTTTGTTCATCATTTCCACTGCCTTAACCTTGCCATGGTAAGACTCGTCTGCCAAGATCTTTAGATCTAGACTCGCGAACTCCCAAACCAACAAATTTCTGCGCATCGGAGTCTTACTGTAAAGAGCCTGGAAAACAGTGATAAAGGTCTTTATTAAGTGTTAAAACACTTCAGTCACGCAATACAAGCAACGCGATCCCTGTCACACAAAGTGACTCCTGACAAGTCACGTGACTCCTACCAGGTCAGCTTAGTCATGTAACCCTTACAGTCACGCAATCTTTAACAAGTCACAACTCAGGTCTTTACAATGAACAATAAACATTCATCAACCTGTAACGATGTGTTCATGTTTATTACCTAGTTTTTGGAAAAACCGCCAATTTTTAGGATAAGAACCTTGGAATGCTAAATCACTACAAGAACGCGTAAAGGCACCGTACAATGTAACGATCACGGTGCTGCACGCTGGTATGTCTTTTTTTTTTCTAACGACCTCAAAAAATCTAATTTCAAGGTGTTACTAAATATACTGGAATAAAAAAAAGACAAGCTTTGTAAAATACAGCGGAGTCTCTATTTAGCGGCTATTCGCGGAAAATAACCAAGTGGCCGCTAAATGGAGGTCGGGCGCATATAAAGATTTTATTAATAAGCAGATAATTTTAGCTGTCAATTATTACAAATCATCCTTCAAATACCCATGATTCCGCTGTAAGGACGAGTGATATTGGGTACGAGACCGCGCATTACGTCATCAAACAAATAATCAGGTAATTATCTTGCGCGCGCTGTCGATGAAGTTATTCAGCGAGAGAAAAGAAGCGAAAGAAAGCGATAAAGACTTCACAAACGAAACATTGTTAAGCGGATTATTTTCAGATTTGATCGCACATAGCACAGTTTCAGGTAAGAACTTTGACATATTCAAAGGGTTTAAGTATAATTTTCTGGTTTCATTGTGAGAATTAATTAGGCAAGCTTCAATTGAAAACATCGAACTGCGTGTCAAAAGTAAAAAAGGAAAGTGTGCGCACACAAAGAACACAAAGATGAAATAGCAATTCTCTATATTTAAAGTGGTTGTAACTTTTAAAAAAGCAAAAAAACAAAGATCGGAAGTAAGCCGGAATGTACGACAAAATGTTTTAGTAAAGCAATTACTCAAAGAAAAGAAAGGAAGAAAGAAAGGAAGGAAGGAAGGAAGGAAGAAGGAAAGAAAGTAAAAGATGATTCTACGCATTATCAACCATCTTTAATTTCATTCATTCTTTTTCAGATTTGTCATGGAATTACCAATCAAGTACCAGAAAACTGTATATTATCTATGGTATATAGCAACTTTTGGATACGTCTTTCAGTGCAAGAAGTCTCATCCTTTGGTGTTTGCCCTGTTGTTGCCTCTCATCATACCTGGTTGTTTACTTATGACCATGTTGGCTTGTCTGGTCGTTTTCAAAGCAGTTTTTATACTGTCTAATTGCGGAGTAAATCTTTTTTCGTTTGCTCTACCTTTGATGCTACAAGTATCAGGACATTTAGTACTTGGGGTTGCCTTGGTTCGCATTTGTTATCTTATCTACAATGCAATCCTACAAGTCTGTCGTAGTTTTGAGTTGGAGCCATGGACCGCAAGAACACTACTCGCCTATATTATCTGGCTGATATACGAGGAGTGTTTCATAGTACTACACATCTGTGGTCTAGCGACTTACGCCATGGTGTGCATTGTACTGTCCTATCTACCATGCATGCTGGTTCTAATGATCTGGCTTGGCCTGGAAGTAATGAAGCAATTAATTGCAATTATCATACTTGTAAATGACCGATTGTGCTGCATGGTATGTGATAGTTGCAAGCAGTTCTGCTGTTGCAAAACAACAGATATATTTCCTGTTAGTCCAGTGCAAGAAGAAGAGATCCTGAAGGACCAGAAGAGAAAGATGAGCGAAGAGAAGGAAAAACCAGAGAAGAAACCATCGAATGATGAAAGAGCTACTGAGCCACGCCCTGGGACAAGCGAGCAGGCGAATAGAAAAGAGAAGATTGAGAACATTAGGAGAAGGTAAGATTTGCAGCATTAGTGAGATGACTAAAATTGATAAAAAACATGTATTGATTGCTTGGTCCTGTTCGTTTCTTTGGGACCTTAAGCCCTTCATCATTGTCCTCCTCTTCACTCTGTTCTCTGCGGTTTTCTTTGCCTCTTCCCATGTGATGCTTACGTTCTTCAGTTCTGCCATGCGTGACCTCCTCCACGACTGTTGTGACCTCCTCACCTTTCTCCTTCTCTTCGCCCTATTGGCTGGCGATAATTTTCTATCTTCCTGATTGGACCAAAGCGAAAACCATTTGATTGTCGCAGTACGGTACCTTTCCAACTCGCAAGAAATTTATTTGAATGTCATAATGATGTATTTTAAAGGTGTATAATCTTTGATTGTTTATCCGCAGCATACTGACGACAAATCTGACGAAGGAAAATGTCAAGGACATGTGGCTTAAGAAACAACAGTCGAGGAGAGGACGTCGAAGGTGGTCCAGGAAGAGCAACAACGCTCTCTCTGTCAGTGTGTCTTCCATGTCTAAAGATTGGTAAATCACTACCTTCCCTATCTTCGATTCTTCGTTTACTCTTCTATTTTATATCTCGAACTTTTTCGGTTAGTTATGTTATGTTATGTCCTAGTACGACCCATGGTTATCTCGGACAGCGAGTACTTTCTCTTTTTTTTTTCTTCTTCTTGCAGCGAGTACTTTCTTATTTTTTTAAAATAATATATTATTTTAATAAATAATTACCTTATATATAAATTATGATACCAATAAAGATGTTATAAATGATACTTATGCATTTGTCTCACGATGGAGGGTCATTTGTAGAAGAAAAATGTATGGACACGTTTTATGGACACAACGCTTTTTCTTTTGAAGTTTAGTTTCTTTGTGGTTTTTTTGACTCTTAAAATGGGTAAGTAAAAATATTCAAATTACCTTGGAACGTTGGAYGTAAAGCTCTGCGTTCTTTTCTAGTAGTTTTTGAAACAACATCTCCTCTTTCTTAACTACAAAAGAAAAAAGAATAGAAAAAAAAAAAGAATGAAAGAAAGAAAAAGAAAAAAAAGAGAAGAATAAGATAAAACCTCTTTCAATATGACATATATAGCAGAAATAAAGTATTGCTCTTTGACTCCGACGAAGGACCAGCGTCCGAAACGTCAGTAAGTTTTTTCATCTTTTCACGGTGTAAAAATTACCCTTTTATCATTACTGTTTCATTAGAAGCACCGACACAGCTCACACTAGTTTTTAGCTAGTCATCTCTTCTTATAGCACTTTATGTGGAGTGTTAGCCTGATTTTACAAGGTAAAAGGACGTAAAAAGACTCGGGAAAAGTGGAGGGTTGTCACTTTTAAGCAGAGGTCATCTTTATACCTGTAAGAAGATTTCCAGGAGTCATTCGTATTGCCTGTAATCGATTCTCCAGCGTCTCCTCTCTGTCAATCCATTGCTTTGCTTCTTCTTGTAGTAACTATAACAAAGTACACAAAATCAACTAAAACTTAATACTAAAATAGGAGGTTGGCAGGTAAGTGAACATGGTGCATATTACCAAGCTAGTGTGCCACAATCATTTCTTACTCGACTTAGAAAAGGCCTCCGTAATGACAAGCCACCCATGTCAATAAAAACGTTTTACAAGGTACAATGGTTCCGTTGGCTCTCTTGCCTCAGCTACTCGTTCATAGGCTCCTGGGACACTGGAGCAAGAGGAAACTTTGGCAGTAAGAACCAGAGTAGTTAAAACTCAGGTTTTGTCATTTTAGATTTTCATATCAATGACTGGCCTTCTTTATTCATCGTCTGTTTGTTTAGGTTGGAGCGACCGGTCCAAAAGCAACGAGGAAGAAGTAGAGTAGTATATAGGGGGGTCAGCAGGGGAGGGTTTGAGGGATTCTGGATACCCCCCTCTTGCAACAACTTTATGCAAACATGACTTATTACTAACATGAAAACATTACTCGAAATTGTAAAATGCATGCCTGCAATGTGCACCGTAAGAGCAATACGTTCTCAAAGACATTCTCTCCACTGATATCTCTGTTGCCACTATCAGGCACTCCAGTGTGACCGATGTAAGGCAAGAAGGACATATCTTTCCATCTCGCAAAACGGGGTAGGGGCGCTCCTTGTATCCATACTTACTGCATAGTTGTCACCCAGTTTCACTTCAAACGGGTCATCTTCTATCTCTAGAGTAATTTCCTAGGAACAGAAAGGAAGCCAACGCATATCACCAAACAAATGAATATCATTCTCTCTTTATTTCGACCTTTAAACAATCGAATTTAATCGATACCCTGAAACAATTCTGAAACGAACTCTGAAACAACGTCTGGGCATTTGGAATTTAGGTTTTGTCGAGGGTGGATAACTGGAGAACCTGGGGAACTTGGGTAATAAAGGGAAAGAGTCATCCAACCCGAGACCCCAACGAGCGTGGCACCACTACAAAGACACTCCTGATTCCCTATTACTAACATGAAACATGTGACATACCTCGAATCGTAGCCATAGATCAGGGGGGAGCGGCTCGACATACGACGCATCACGTGTTTTCTTATGTAACGCTTTGAGCATCTTGGTGACATTTACAAGCTGAAACAAATAAGATTATGATATGATGATCTAAAGTTATACATCAACCAAAATTAGACCCAACCCCCGACGTCTCCGCGACTCCCCCACCCACCCGACTCCCCCCGGATAATTCAGGGACGATTGTTCTTTTCCTTATCCCTGCTGGAGGGATTTTTCCTTGAAATGATAGTGATATTTCTTTTGGAGTAAAACGATTCATCATAACATATTTTATGTGCCCGTTAAGAAATGGTTCCTAGGGGAGGGAACAGTCGCTGAGCTCGAGGAATGTGTGCTAGTATGGGTGGGGTAGGGTGGGGGTTGGGTGGGGTATGGGGGAGGGCGTAGAGGGGGTGTGTTATTGGCACTTTATCCTGATCATTTTAAATCTCACCTCACTTCTGGAGGAAGCGAAGTCAAACTGATAAGGAAAGAAGACCGTTGTTGAATGGACTGCGATAATCCTGAAACAATAATGTTAAGGGGTTTGTAAGATCATCACTACTACCACGTTCACCATAAACCTCGTCATTATCATTATCATCACCTCCATCATAATCATAACCTACATAACCATAACCTACATCGTTACCACTGCTATCGGCTATTAGCTGTCTTCCTTGATTCCAGGGTTTTTTCTCCGGCTTTCCTCCCAGCTCACAACYTAACACGCTAAATTCCAATTCAGTCTGTGAATTAGTTGTGCCCTGACTTTGATAAGCTCATTTTGGGTATCGATCAAATTTGAATGAGTATCATTATCACCTTTATCATCATCGCCATCATAAATACTATATCGTACATACCAGGTAGTGTTGTTCAAGGTTTGTAGATTGGTGAACATTTTCCTCAAGTTCTTAATGACCTCGACTTCCTGTGATCTTTGTATCGATATTCCCTAAAATCAAAACAACATATGTAACTCTGCATAAAAAATTGAGTGCTCTATCATTTACAGCTATTTTCAAAAAGGTTGCAGTAGGTTTTGTTGCATATTGCATGTTGCATGTTTCATGTTGCATGTTTCATGTCGCATGTCGCATTTTGCATGTTGCATGTTACATGTTGCTTACTAATCATCATCATCTTCATCTATTGCTGTCGTGGGTCAACCACATAGTGCCAACACCAAATTCGTCCAGTGCCTTCTGTCCTGAGCGGAACGAATTGCCTCATCAAGCTTACTAATAAGCTTTATCATATTTTTGTCAATAATGTTAGCATCGTTTGAAATAGCTGTATAGAACAATGAATACCTTGAATGTAAATGTGTCTTTGTCATCAAAAAGCATTACTGCAGTATCCATAGCAACGGTGACGTCACTGTTTTGAAGTTCGAGGGAGGACTTGCGCATCTCTACGCCAAAACTGTTAGGAAAAAAACACGTAGAATTTCTTAATGAAAGGTTTTTAGCTCTAGCAAGCAAATTGAAGTTTGGAAGATTTCGTAAGAGCAAGAACGTGCGGTACTGCGACACTCAAATGGCCTGAATCGATCATAGAATAAGAAACTTATATTGTCCAATCACAAAGCTTGAATACAAAAGCCATAGTGCGGTATAGCGACACTCAAATGGCTTCCACCCTGAACCAATCACGAAGTAAGAAAATTGTATTAACCAATCACAATGCTTGAATACTAAAGCCATCGTGCGGTACTGCGTCGTCACGGTATGAAGGTAATGACATGCTTTGAACCAATCACAGCGCGCGAGGACACTTTTCATCCAATAAGAATGTTGGGTCATGCACCTTAACGGCTTTATACATACGAACGCTTTTTCCAAATTTCTACGAAATCTAATCTATATAAACAAGACTAAGATAAAAACCTTGTCGACGGCGAGGTTTCCATTTGAAGCTTGAAGTACGAAATATCACACTTTAGATCGAATCCTTTGGGGGCTTCCTGTGTCTTCTCGTCGGATTCCTGTCGCTCTTCCTCTATTTCATGCTGCCCACTTATGACGAACACTTCTGTGAACCAAAAATCGTCAAATCATTCCTTTTTTTATGCTGGTTAGATAAGACATTTTCATAGAGCTTTTCAGTGTAACGTTCCAGCTGGGCTGTGAATTTTGTTTCACGGGCTCATTCCCAGGCTACCGTAAACCAACTTTTGCATATTTTTCTGTTTTCTCTTGACTAAAACAATATGCGTGCCTACAAGAAGCAGAAATATGGAAGGGAAGGATAAAAGCAATCCCACTTTACTGACATGTTTGCTTTGTTATTTCAAGCTCAAAAAATTGCTAAGCGCCGGTCATTTTGTCCACGCTTTGCGCGCTGCATTAACCGCTCATCTGGTCAATTGATACAAACCGAAGTCCAGCTTCAAAACGCAAAGCAGGAAGTCCAAAGATTTTATTTGTTGCAGGGAAATGACAAATTATATTACGTGTTGCGTTACATACCTTTCATGCCCATTACGTCTTGCGTGACTTCCTGTAACCTATCATACAGAGCCATGTGTAATGGTGGATTCCAGTCCACTGTGGTGTCTTGCAGTGACAAGGAAATGACCTTCAAGGAAATAAGGAACTAAAAAAATTGTAGAAGCTGATACTTCTCTCTCGCATTTTTTGAATACGGATGGTGCTGTTTATGGAATTCAGAAAAGGCCTATGGTTATCCAGTGTCACCCTCAGCCGTTCTTAGTGTCGTCACGCAACGCTCACTCCCACTAAAGTGAGTGTTGCGTGACGACACTAAAAACGGCTGCGGAGAAGACTAATGGCAATCTCGTTTTAAAACAATCGGGTCAACACCGTTTCTCTGTACTAACCAGGAGAGATACACGCTCTGTCGAGCACGAAATTGAAGCAATAAACATTTTTAATATTACCAGGTAGGCGAGCTCACTATTAAGCAACCGTTGACTCGTTCTCCGCATGTCTCTTCGAAATCACCCACGTGCATTACTAAAGTTTAGTAAAGGCGACTTGTTTATCTTATTGTTAACTACCGTTGAGGCGTTTTTCTTCGTGGTTTATTATGCATCTTACCTTATGGTTCGCAAGAGATATTGTTATCGCCGGCACTGATACACATTGGTTATTCATTTCTTTGGACAGCAAACATCTGTATGGCTCCTGAAAATTACACACACATAATCATTAGAACAGACATCGAAAGGGTAACTTCGCGCGATCCGATTGGTCCAAACTTTCTGTACCGTGACCGTGCTACGTTCGGAGTTTTTCAACCCCCCCCCCCCCCCCCCCCCCCCCCCCCCCCCCCCCAACCCCAATCTGATCTCCAGACGAAGCTTTTGACTCGTATAAAAAGAACATGCACCACTTTATAGCACCTACCCTCTTCAACCCAAGCATTCTAGAGACTTTGATCCCAAATATGTCCATGAGAACGGGCCGTCCAGATGAGAAGGTTGACAGAACCATGTCAGTCCTGTAGACAAACGAGTCCACACCATCTGCGCGAGTACCGAGGTAGAATATATTGATCCCGCACAGTCTGACGTCTGTATCAAGGGATACTGAAAAATATTGAAATTGATCGGTGTGCTGTGATGGAATATATAGCAGGCATGGATATGTGAGAATACGAGACCAGTGTTACAGTCATTCTCAATAACACGCACAGAATCATCGTCGTGACGAAGTAGTTTTGGTAGAAGTCAATCAAGGCGTTTCCATGACATTCCATAGCTACATGCCCTTAAAAACTTTGAGTTTTTCTATAATGTCCGTTGGTATTACTAAGATTGACGTCCACCCAAACGCTATATTATTGCGAAGGAAATTGTACGATTCCGCGATTCATTATTTTGTGTTGGTGCGCCATCTCACTTTTCGTTTTCTGTGTGGGCTTCCTGTGTTCTCGCTTGTCCTTCACCGTACTCAGACCTTGAGTAAACTGCTTGGTAATCTGTAGTATTGTTTTGCACACCTGATGTGACCACTCTAGAGCCAGACCACTGGCTTCCCCTCTAATACTGACGTGCAATGAACTCACATCTTTATGTGGAAGGGTTATTTCACACTGTTAAATATAAAGAACTAGACGTAAATTAAGCTGTAATGTACCGCCAATGGACCCTCTCACAAACACAGAGCCCTATCATTCTTATTGCGCATGCTCGACAACATTGCATACGAATAAAAAATTACAGGGTTTTGGGGTGAGAGTAGACTCAGGTTGAAAATTAGGCCCCGTCCACACGTATCCGGAAATCTTTGTATCCGCAAATTTTTTCAGCGTATTCGAATCGTTTTCGAATCGTTTTCACTGTCCACACGTATCCGGAAATTTCATGATCCGCCCTGATGCACGCTAGTACCTAGTCCCTTTGACGGATAGTTTTTCTTATTGAGCATGCGCAAAATCGTGTTTACGTCAGCGTATTCGAAAATTTGCGGATACGACCGTCCACACGTATCCGTATTCGGAGCGTATTCGAGAATTTCCAATCTGGAGACCGTTTTCGAAAATTTCTCGATACGGATACGAAAATTTCCGGATACGTGTGGACGGGGACCTTTATTACACGGCTCCATGTTTTTTCTCATGAGAATAAAAACCTTTGTTAAGCCAAAGCTCGCGATTAAACCGAGTCTCGATGCCAGATCTAATTGAAATTCAGAAGTGTCTTGATAAAGTATGCGGAGGAAAGAGAACCGGGGAACCTGGAGAAAAACACTCCAAGCACAGGAGAAAACCAACAAGCAATTCCACTCTTATAGGATGGCGGGACCAAGACTCAAACTCATGACCACAGCGGCGAGTGGCGCCGCATTATATAGCATTACCCGCTTGCACCCACCTGTATACTGCAGCTCCCCATGGCAAGCACCCTTCCCCACACGTGACTATTAGTGTTTGGCAGTAACCACAGCGGTGAGTGGCGCCGCATTATATAGCATTAACCGCTTGCACCCACCTGTGTACTGCAGCTCCCCATGGCAAGCACCCTTCCCCACACGTGATTATTAGTATTTGGCAGTAAACAAGGGTTATCTGGTAATGTATACGATATGACGTCTGCGTTGTCTAGTGACTCGGGTACTGCTGTTAGCACATCGAAGTAGACGTATGCGTTCTCCATGCGTGAAGCAACACTGGATTTAAAAGGACACAGTTAATTCATTTCCTTCAAAAGAAATTACAGTGGCCGTAGATAGAATGAGCATCATGTCAATTAAACTGTCTATTCTTAATAACGCCTGAACTACGTACCTTATGTCCTGTACTCCAAGATTTGTTTCAACCAAATCTGGAAAAGAATAGACGGTGAGAAGTACAATGATGATGATTGTAAAGATGATAAGGATTAATGAAGTCCGATGATGATTATAATGATGGTGATGATGATGGTGTTATAATAATTATGATCATGATGATGATGA